GTGCATTTTTATATTTGGTTTTATACTTCTATCTTAAGAGTTTGCTTATGATAAGAAGTTTTAAAATTAAGTTCTCATATTGCATCTGTCTTGACAGCAATTTTTAAATTTCATTACTGTAGTATAGTTTAGCTTTTAGTATGTATAAACATCAACTAATTTTTCCATTTGATATAAATTATAAAAAAAAAGAAGCTAATTAGTTATCTGTATCTTCATCTTCCATAAGTATCTTTTGGTATTAAATATAAAAAAACAAGTAAAATCGCAAAGGTATTTTGGGACAAGACTATGTCTTGGAGAGCGTGAGCAATGCATGTGCAAATCTCACACTCATGCTTGTTTGTAGAAACAGTCTTGGCATTTCATATTTTCTTTTGACCTGGTTCTCGGTTCCCTGACTACCTACAAGTCTGGTTTATTTTATGTTTACATGATTTAGGCGCCAAATACTCTGTACTAAATTGCAACTCCTGACATGTACTCCTTCATACCTCTAAGGTGTGCAGTAGTTGACAGCAGCAAAATTTTAGAGANATTAATTTATCAATTAATCATGGAAAAATGCAACCACCAGAAATATTAAAATCATTAGATCTATTTGTTCAGAATGGCATCAGTACATAATTACTGAGAAAGTATATAATCCACATTCTACATTTAAAAAATTTTTTTGTCAGAACAATAAGTATAAAGTTAGAAAATTTACAAAAAATTAATTACATTTTATCTTGAAAATTGACAAAAGTTGGCACTATGTTTTATTTAATCAAAAAATAAACAAACTGCATATTTTAAGGAAACCAAAAAATATTTAATCATAAATGATTTTGGCCATTATTTTTGACATTCTCAGATTACAAATACACTATTCAATGTAATTGTGAGCTGAGAATGACCAAAATAATAGCTAAAAACCATTTACCTTGAATAAGCAGTTTATTTATTGATTGATTAAAACAAAAATTAATATAAAAAATATCATATAAAATTTAGAAATAAATTAGGATAATTTCATATATCAAGATCATCTTGTGATGATTTAAATGCAGAGAAAATTGATTACAAATAATATATATATTTAATAATAATTTAAAAAATTGAAATTACTTTTTCTGACAATCACAATGTGAGGCTGCAATTTTTAATTGTATTTTAATTTAAATAAATATAATTTTTTATCTCAAACTGTGACTTTTATCTCAACTATTACTTTTTCTCTACGATGACATTATTTTTCACATAAATTTTATCACAGAAAATATCAGATTATGTGAATATTGTACACGTTGGAGGGTTGGGTGATATATTACTGATCTCAGTTTATCATAAGGATCAATTCTATACCAAATTATCACTCTTTATAGTAAGGTAAAAAGTTTGAATTGAAATCACATGACTTTCAATCCTGATCGGAAGTTTAATAATCAGGGCCTCCAGCCCTAAGCTTTCCATATCAGGTCTTGATTTTCATCTATCTAACCCTATTCTTGAGATTAATGAAGGACAGATAACAGTGGCATGTAATTATTGGGCTGCAATTTGAAAATTGCAGCCCAATAATTTGAATAATTTTTAAACTTAAAAATAATTAGATTTTTATTTTGAAAAAATTTAACTGATGTATTTTGATATGAACTGGAAAAAACATAATTTAATTTTTAATTTAAAAAGTAATAAACATTAAAAAATGATTTTTAAAGAGATGATAACTATTAATAATTATAATTTAGGATAGTCATGACAACACATCCAGTTTTGTTAGAAACTGCTAGCTTTTTGTATCTCTGTTTTTGGTTTGAAATTTTTATTCAAACAGAAAATTTTCTACTAATAAATAAATTTTTAAGGAATAAGCTGCAATCTCATTTATAGCGAATTATCACATCTATTTGATAAATTTTTAGCACCATTTGCCTGTTTTTGAAAGAAATTTTTCATTTTTAAACAAGATTGTTATTACATTGCCAATTATTTCATATTGTTTTGTTAACTACACTGCTCCCAAAAGAATATCTGATATGTGAATGCCAATTGTGACATAAATCAATTAATTTATCAATTAATCATGGAAAAATGCAACCACCAGAAATATTAAAATCATTAGATCTATTTGTTCAGAATGGCATCAGTACATAATTACTGAGAAAGTATATAATCCACATTCTACATTTAAAAAATTTTTTTGTCAGAACAATAAGTATAAAGTTAGAAAATTTACAAAAAATTAATTACATTTTATCTTGAAAATTGACAAAAGTTGGCACTATGTTTTATTTAATCAAAAAATAAACAAACTGCATATTTTAAGGAAACCAAAAAATATTTAATCATAAATGATTTTGGCCATTATTTTTGACATTCTCAGATTACAAATACACTATTCAATGTAATTGTGAGCTGGTGTATGAAAATACAAAGAACACTTTTACAATTTGTTCATAGAAAATTTTTTGTAAATTTTCTAAGTTTACCACTAAAATAAAACTTCTCCAGAAACTAGGCTGTACTATATTGTACAAAAATTCACTATCTATATTCAGTCAGCTGATTTTTCTGAAAAAATGAATACTTTTGGTTTTCTTCTAAGATCTACTTCAGGTGAAAAATTTTTAAGCAGATAGAACTTCTAAAGTTTTGATGTTCTATCTGTTTAAAAATTTTTCACCTGAAGCAGATCTTAGAAGTAGACCAAAAGTGTTCATTTTTTCAGAAAAATCAGCTGAGTGAATATAAAGATAGTGAATTTTTGTACAAGTTTACCATATTCTACAACTTGAATCAATATTAAGAAACTTGTACAGAAATAGTTACTGTGATAATTTTGATTATACTAAAAAAACTATCATGGTACATTATTTGGATGAATTGTCCTGTGTTCAGTTTGGCTTCTCAATTGGACACTAGACAAGACCCATGTAACTAGACAGTATAGTTCAAAACTGATAACCATAGCTATTGCTGAAAGGTTAGGTTAGTTATATTGATCACCTGGGAATAGGAGACAACTTGTCCAAGATATCAAGGGATAGAGGAAGAGAGTGCACAGAGAACCCAAATATTTTCAATTTAAGAATTCTGTTTTGTCAATGAACATATTATTTACATACCAGTTGCATCAGTTTTAAGTCAGTTACATAACCAACCATGCAATATACATAGCCAACCAAGGAAAAAAAATCATTGACATAAGTGACTGAATGGTAATAATTTATTTACTAGAGTGTTTTAGGAAGTTTTTGTATTTAAAAAAAAATCATTTTTATTTTGAATATAATTCTAAGTATAAAATAATATATATTAGTTAATTATAATGTTTAATTAATTATTATTCTGAACATTATGCAATTTGTAAACATAACTAGTTTATAACATAGTGATGTGAAACAGAAAGTTAAATTTCATGAATATACTGCTGTGAAACAAGCATATGATATAAGAGAGAGCATTTCAATGAAGGATATAATGTCATAACTTGCATAATATTCAGAATTAATTAGATAATCCTACTAATTGTTATCTAAGAATTAAAATAGAAGTAATGATATTTGTTGATTTACTGTATTACTATTACTAGCAAAATTTTAAAACTGAAATTAATTTAATTTTTATAGTTATGCAAGATTACTTTTATTTTAAGTTAAGAAATATTTCTTCCTTTTTACTTCACATAAAAATGTCAATTTTCTTGATAACTTTTACAGTACAATAAAATAAAAGTTAATAGTAAAAAACAAACTTTATTATTACATAAAAAGTCTGATGAAATTCATGGCATTTATCTAGTTATTCATGTAAACTTTTCAAATATAAAAATAATATTTTACTCATCATATCTGATAAGATAATGACTTATTAAATTTGACAAGTAATTTGTAATATTTGTTGCAATACAGGTCTTCATACCATCTGTTGTTAATATATATCTATGGAATTCTTTGAAAGCAATAAAATTTTTTGTTTTTAAAACTTGTTATAAAACTGAATGTTTTATAATCAGAAAACAATTATTTAAAATACTTAAAATTATGGTAAAATTCTTCTCAATAGAAATTTTGAATTTTATAATTAAGCAACGTACAGTAATTTATAGTTACTGTATTTAAATTTTAGAAAAAGAAAATGATTAAAGTATATTATCTTATAAACTGCATGTTACTGTATTTAAATGATCAGTCTTGTGAATGAATGAGGGCAAATTGTTATGGCAAATAACATTGCTTCATTCATTTACAGCAGCAGTTGGTTAAGATACCAAAAGTTACACCATACATATAGTAAACTTACAGATCCTTTGTATCTTAATCAACTTTTTCATTGATTTTTCACTTAATGTAAACAGTTATAATGTAGATTTTTTATATATTTTACATTATTATTTAATTTTAAAAAAATTTCATATTTATAATTAAATATGTATGTAANATAAAATGAATATTTTTGTAGGTATCTCTATTGGCTAATTTCTGGATATTCAACTGGTGAATTATATAGAGTAGATTTACATGATATATCTCTTAAGCCTGCATTTGAAAATGACATTCAGTTAATCATAAAGGATTATAATTTAGAGACATTTACAATTGATTATATGAATTTTAGAATTTTAATTCCAAATGCTACATTAAATACAATTATAGCTACTTCTCTTGATGGTACTGATAGCATTGATATTCGATATAATTCACACAGTCCACATTTTTCCAATGTAAAAAGTTTAACTTATCATAACAATTTGTTTTATTGGACAACTGGCACAAGCATATATGGAGAAGAATATCATTCTAAAGTAGATAAATATTATCGCAATAAATTTCTTATTAAAGCTAATTATATTTCAAATGTAAAAGTGCTTCATATTGACTCTCAACCATATCCAGGTACTGTGTCATATTTAGAAAATTTAAAATATTATATATTAGCAATTGTTAATTATATTATTTTTCTTACGTTTAGTTCCCTTGAATGAAGTAGAAAATGTTCAAGCACTTTTTCAAGATGAAACAGCCAAAATATTTTGGTCAAAACCAAAACTGTTAAATGATGTTGGTAAGTTTAACATATGTTACTATGCATCCAAAACATTTTATTTTAATAAATAATTGCTATTTTTTTATATTTCTCTACTATATAGGAAAGGGTGCCTGGCAGAAATGGTTCTATGAAATTCATCTTTTTGATCATGTCAAAAATCTCACAATATTTGGAAATAGGACTGCAAATAATATTTACAAAATTTTTACTTTGAGACCAAACACAACCTATTCAATAAAAATAAGAGCATGCAGTCTTGGTGGAAAAGGAGAATGGTCATCTGAATTTGTAGGAAAGACATTAATGCAAAGTACAAAGACAATTACTTTCTGAAATTAAATTTTGAGATTAATAAGAAAATTGACCATTACTTATGATTCCTTATATATACAGTATGTGTATACAAGAACAGATTCTGTACATACACAAAGTAGTCAGTTCATGAAATCTGGCTTAACATTTTAAAAAATTTTAAATTTTATTTTCAAATCCTTCAAACTTTAAAATAAAGAATGCTAATTTAAAACCTAAACTTTTAATTGAGAAACCCTAGTTGAAAAATTTAACTTAGAATATTTTTCTCCAATCAAACAATATTTTAAATGGATTTTATTGAAAAAAGAAAACATTTCAAATTCACTTTTTGATGTTGTTTCTATTTTATAACTTAGAGTTCAAACTAGAATGCTTTATTTTGAAGTTTGAAGAATTCTGAAAATGAAAATGTTTAAAAATGTCGAATATATGTAGATTCTGTTCTTGAACTTTGATGTGTTATTTTTGTAATTATTTTATATTTATAGGTACAGTAATTAATGTATTTTAATATGATTATTTAGCAAAAAAACAATAATTCAAGTTTCATAATTGGTAGTAGATATAATACTTTGGAAAATTATTTTTGTCATATTATTTCTCTCAGACAAATAATGAATTTAATGCATTATTAAAAACCAGTTACATTTAGACTTGAAATAATGCTTTTGTGAATAATGATATTTTATACTTACGACAATTTCTTTATTTACAATAAAATAATAACACATCTACAATATTTTGTATTAAATGAAGGTATAATTTATTTTTTATCAGGAAAATATATTATTTCTGCAAAATGTTTACATTTTAAACAATATTTAAAAATTATTATTTATTGAAATAATTTAAAAATTCTATATATCAGCTTATCTAAGACAGTAGGAGTTTTGAAAATACAGTAATAATTTGATTGATTTAAAACAACATTTTCATCTTAAAAGTGTTTTAAAATAACAAAAAACTCATAACTATAAACCTTTTACCGGTGCACGTTTCACCACACTCTACAATAAAGTTACAAATGTTTTCGAACCGTTGCAGTTCTTCTTCAGGTAACAATCCCCTAACAGAATGCGTTTCGGTTCAAAGTTGTTAAGAAATACGATCCGGATATTAACCATGAAAGAACCAACACAGCTCTGGCTGTATACTGTTTGGACCCTGATATAGAATCCATATTCTCTCAAGCAAAGATCATTTACACCATCCACCGCACGAACCATCTCATATGGCTGGAGGCAATGTACATATGCCTAAACACGATTAAAGAATGTAATTGCATTAACTACAAGGATGAAATCACTCTATCGATGGCCTGGCAGGCCCTACTAGATAAATCTCTAGGATAGAACACATGCATAACGCACAAGTTTGTAGTGACATCATCGGGTCAGAACATCGTTCCGGATCGTATTTCTTAACAACTTTGAACCGAAACGCATTCCGTTAGGGGATCGTTACCTGAAGAAGAACCGCAACAGTTCAAAAACATTTGTAACTTTATTGTAGGGTGTGATGAAACCGGTAAAAGGTTTATAGATATATGTTTTTTGTTACAGTACTCCGGTGTAGGAAATTCTACCATTTTGTTTTTGAAATATTTATTTACAAGAATGATTCAAAAACAGGATCATTCTTTTAATCATAAGCTATATTAAAGAGGTTGACTTTTCTAATTTGAATTTGCATCAGGTAAATAAGCAAGTAATTTACTTGCACTGTAATATGGATTTTCTTTACATTAATACACTGTTATTCCTGTAAATTATAATAAATTTAAAATGAAATCACAGAAACATAAAATATATGTATGTATGTATGTATATAGATTTTAAAATATATGTATGTATATATATACATATATACATACATACATACATATATTTTAAAATAGATACTCAAAAACTCTTAAAAGTGCTGGAACTTAAATTAATTATGTTAACATTTTCAATGAGTCTCAGCAATGATGGAGCTTAAAGGATTTTAAGTTTTATTTGTTTGGTGTTTTCTCAGTGTAGGTTTTTACATTAAATATGTAATATGTTTTTCATATTTTACATTAACTTATTGTCAAGGAAAAAAGACTAGGTTAATTATATTGTGGTAAAATAGCTCTAATACTTTTATTCAGTTGTTATGAAATATTATTAAAAAATCATACTCCTAGAACCTATTTCCGGTATGATGAAAAAACAAACGAAAAAGTTTACCACAAACGTTTTCGAACTGCTGTGAGTTCTTCCTCGGGTGAAAAAGGGAGTTTCTGATGGGACGGAGCAATCAGTTAACGGTATATGAGAAAAAATATTTGAAAGTGTAATATCAGTCGCATATGCGTAATCATAGGGTAACCAGATCTTAACAATTACAGTTCGGAGTCCATCAACGCCTGCCAGGCTACAGACAAAATTAACTCATCTTTAAAATTGATGCATGAGTCATTAAGGGTCGATTTATAAATGTGAATGGCTTCTAGCCATTTTAGGTGTTTGATGTGTGACGTAGTGCAGACTAGCTTCACCTGATTAAAGGCCACCAAGATGTCGGGATTCAGAGGCGTAAATGGCGAGGGCAGTGGAGTTTCTCTTATGTTGAATGTCTGCTATGTGCTCCTGTGATCTGACCCTCAAGGAGCTTTTGGTCGATCTGATGTAAATGAGGTTCCTATCAAATCTGTTGTTTCTAATGGGGATACTGTACACGCCTGGTAGTCTGTTCTGGTTGGGGGTCTTTTCCCTTGCGGAGGATGTCATATATGGTGGGACGTCTCGTGTACGTGATCTGAATTCAGTTCTTCCTAGTAATCTTGGTTTAAAGCATTTTAACATATGGATTGAACGTGATAAGGACTCATTGTACAACATCAGGGCGGTTGTCACTCTGCACGTCAGTCGCTTTATACCGAGATTGCCAGGAAGCACCGAATTCAGATCACGTACAGGAGATTGAACAATACTAGGACATTATGGAACTTTATCATATCATAATAGAATTGAGACAGAACCAGAAAGAAGGAAGTGATCCTTGCACTTGCTAGGCACAAGAGACAATCCTTGTAGCTGACAGTTGTGGATAGGCAAATTTTGTACTTGCCATCACAAAAGATGCTATCCTTGTAACTGCCAGCCAAAGAAGAAGCAGTCCAAAAAAGAAATTGATTGTTCTTGTATTTTGTTAAATTTTTGCATCTCTTTTCTGTTAGTTGCATGCAATGTTGTTTTTTATTTCATTGGTGCACAAGAATAGTGACACAACTCAAAAATTTTCAATTTCGAAGTTTATTGTAGAAATGTATAGCAAACTCCCTATATTTTTATGTGGAAGAACAAACACTAATATTTATTTCCAAAAAATATTTGAAAATTTTAAAAATCCAAGATCATGACAAAGTGTTGCAAGAAACAAGAAACTTTTAAATGGTTGTTCTGGAAGATCTATTTTTTTTGAGTTGTGTCACTATTTTTGTGCACCAACAATTTGACCTCTAAATTTCATTAGACATGCTCAATCACATCAGCGAGCAGAGATATTGTCAATTTCACTGTATATCAAAAACAAGTCATGCACCCCTATTTTTTACATTTACATGGACCGTTATAACATTTTTAGATTTCTTATTAGAATTAATGGAAAATGGCAAAGTTTAATCAGAATCAATCAATTAAATTTTGGGTTTGAACACAATTTTGTAAGCTACATAGAAGAGACTTCACTAACACTTTGTCTCAATAAATAAATATAGAATATGACAAATACGAGGGTAGTCCCAGAAGTACCCGACCTAACAAAGAAGACAGAAAAAATTTGGTAAAACATATCTTTATTTTTCAACATAGTCTCCTTTTAGCTTGATACACTTTTTCCAGCAATGTACAATAGCTTCGATTCCCTATTTATAGTGAGAACTGTCGAGCTTCTCAAAATAGCCATCAATCACAGACTTCATCTCTTCATTGTTGGCAAATCTTTTATCACCAAGCCATTTTTTTAAGTTTGGAAAGAGAAAATAATCCAAGGGGGCTAAATGTGGCGAATAGGGTGCGTGAGGAAGCAATTTGAACCTTAACTCATTGATTTTGGCCATCGCAATAACGGATGTGAGAACTGGTGCATTGTCTTGATGAAACAACACTTTCTTTTTCGCCAAATGTGGCCGTTTTTTCTTGATTTTATCACTCAAGCGCTGCAATAAGTTTGCATAATACTTGCCATTGATTGTTTTTTCTGGGCGCATTCCAAAAAACTGACACCATGACCTTGCCAGCAGATGGAACTGTTTTCGCCTTCTTTGGAGCTGATTTTCCCCTTTCAGTCCATTGTTTCGACTGTTCTTTCGTCTCGGGTGCGAAGTGATGGACCCATGTTTCATCCATGGTTATAAATCGATGCAAAAACTTGGCTTTGTTGCTGCGAAACATTGCCAAAGACTCGATTGAAACATCCTCACGATGCTGTTTTTGTTCCATTGTGAGCAAATGCGGCACCCATCTTGCACACAGCTTTCACATGTCCAAATTTTCAGTTAAAATGCGATGTACAGCACTTTTTGAAATGCCTACCATAACTGCTAGCTCTCGCACTTTGAGTTGACTGTCATCTAATACCATTTTGTGGAATTTTTCCACCATTTCTGGCATGGTCACTTCACTTGGTCGATCACTACGATGTTCATCTTGGCAGCTCGTACGGTCTCATTTAAACTCTGCCACCCAATATTTTATTGTTGTAAACGAGGGAGCAGACTCTCCCAGAGTATCTATGTATGACGACCAAATAAGGGCATAGAAGCTCTGAAAATATTCAAATCCATAAAGAGCAGCCATTGCATTAATTTCAAAGAGGAAGGACAATTATCTTATGCATGGCAATCACTATACCTAAGGGAGCAGTCAAATTTAAAAAATTATTTTGGAGAAATTTAAATTTGATTTAATCAATTTAAAATATCATTTTAAATTTTTATGTTTTTAAGTAATTTTTAAAAACGTTTCAATTTACGTATTCGTATTTAAAGAATCCTGAGGAAAATCTCCTAAATAGATTGAAAATGTTAGAGATTGCAATTTATTAATGAATTTGCAATTAATTATCATGGAATTTCTTTTAAGGTTCAATTAGTTGCAGTTTTATATATAAACATCACTAAGCCCAAGGTATTAATAATAATGCAAATGATTGTCGTAATTAATTGGACTATTAAATGCTATTATTAATGATTAACTATTAAGTAATTTGGTACTAAAGGTAAGCATTAGGTGCCATCTCTTATTAAATTTAATAATTATAATATTTACTAATTAATTTAGAATATTCTAGAAGAAAAG